GCGGCAACATCAGTCTTCTGAGACGAAGGAAAAATAAAAAAAAACGGACAGTACAACAGTACAACTTCCTTCGTCTCAGGTTTATTATGGATACCATTCACCAGCTGGCCTGTGTTTTTTACCTTTCTTCACTAATCAGTCTTCTGCACTCGGTGCATTTGGCGAGTTCGTTTGAGTCCAGTTTTCCGTGCAACACTCTGTGAGTGCGATGCATTCTGGGGGAGAATTCGAACGGTGCCAGTGCGTGTGAAACGAACACGCTATTAGTTTAGGTTTCTGAATTTGGCTTTTAGAAGGAATAGATCTTTATTTGCCCACATGGAGTGTTAGGCGATCGGTGTCAGCTAACAAAAAATCTCCCCAATTATGTGTATTTTGCCGTTTTGCGTCCAAGAGACAATCTGTTATTTTGTTATTTCAGTGATGCGCGCCACTTATGATGTAGTTTTGGAATTTTGATCCTCTAAACGAGGAAACACTATTGTTCTTTCTTTTAAGGCGCTACCGGCTGTTGGTCAGCAAAGCATTTTGTCTTGAGCCCTTAGTTTCTCGTCTTTATTTATATGGCTCTGGAGAGCCGCGGCACCGCGGAAAGGCAGCAGCCCGCACCATGGAGGCCCGCGGTGCCGCGTCTAGTGAACATGATAATCTGATGAGCAGTGTGTCGAACCGAAAAAAATACGGGTTCGGTTACGGTCCAGGTTCAGGTAAATTTATTTTGTTCCGGTTCAGTTCCGGTTCGATTAATTCGATCCGCGAACCGGTTCGCGAACCGGTTCGGAAATTATAAATGACAAATGGCAACATCAAAATAAATTACAAATAAAACATCTGAAATCAGCACATACGAAACGGGATACATCGTAGTGTAAGGATCAGGGATTTCTACCAGTAATGGTTTCTTTATGTGCACTCAAAGGTTACCTCACCGACGTTTACGCATACGGACTTCATCTAATTGTCGCGAACTATCCCGCCACCTCGTCGTGTAAGCAATTGAAGGAACAGTGGGGAGAAAATACAGCTTTCTTTATTTGAACTAGCCTTCGGTAACTCAAATTAGACCCTTAAAGAAGTTTTCATTGAACAAGATACGGAATATGAAAAACACTTCACCGAACGCAACGCCAGAAGGACGTAATAGGATAAATATTAAAATAGAAGAGTTCGCTGTCTCACAAATATGTTAGCTTCTAAGTGCCTATACGAAACCGGATGCATTATTATCAAACTCCACAGCCTTTTCTTTTCTCAATGCGATGGAAGCAAGCTTCAAGAACTCGCGCGTTCTAGAAACGTGTTATGAAATGAGCACACAGCAGCATTTAGGATTTACGAGATTGTAGAAAAATAAAATCCCGTGACGCGATTTTTTTTTTTTTTTTTTTTGCACAGCCTTTTAATTTTCTTTCTTCCGTGCAAGCCGCGACCAGCGCAATACTGGTTCCTATGTCAAGATTCATGGATGCAGCGTTTGTCAAGATTCATGGATGCAGCGTTTATATTCCTAAGATTGAGTGGAGAAGAAAAATATGTAAGCGAGGGTGTGTGTCAGTTGACGGCACTTAAAAAACAAATGGCATTGATAGCACATTCATTGTCAACAGCGCGTGGCCGAACCGTTTTGACATGAGCCGGTAACCGTTATTTTTTTTCCGGTTTAGTTCCGGTTCGGGTTCATCGCGATAACAATATAACGGTTCGGGGTTCGGGTTCAGTTCCGGAAAAAAATACCGGTTCGGTTCCGGTTTTCGGTTCGGTTCGGTTCCGGTTCGACACCCTGCTGATGAGTATATACATGCATGATGACGACGACATGAATTGTTGGTATTGGGGAGGATGGCAGTCCGATTTGCAGAAGTGCAGATTTCGTGGAGGTGGGTTGGGCGGCTCAGCAGCGAGCCATGGGGATCTGGCACGCCGTTCGATAGGTGCATGAAGGAGCCCCAGGAACATGATGGCGCTGTTGCTCACTGGGGTTCATTGGGGTCGAAGCATCAGGCTCCCTGGAGGTAGCCCAGTCAAAGTAGAAGCTGCCGCTTCCGAGGAACCAGGGGGGCTATGTTGCGCTTTTTGCACTCCCAGGAGACTATGGAGACGGAAGTGACGTCAACAACGCAGCAAATGCAGATTGGATGTTGATTTTGTTTTCTTCTGTCAACATCCAATATGCGTTTGATCTAGTCGTTGACGTCACTTCCTTCTTCCAAGTCTCCTGGGAGTGCAAAAAGCGCAACATAGCACCCCAGGGCTCAGATTGAGGCACCGCCGTCACCCGGTGTGTCATCATCTCAACGTCGTCGCCGTTGTGTTCTTAATTTATACGCGTTATGTGTATATATTATATATATATATATATATATATATATATATATATATATATATATATAATAACATAGATAAAAATACACACAATCGAACGGCCAGCGGCGCCCCGTTCTAGTTATATACGCCTGAAAGAATTTTTCTCACTTTATGCCTGTAACCGAGCTAAAACTTTACGTACACAGGCAAATTCAAAGCAAAATATATACAATGCAAGTGCTTCTGACCCTACATAACAATTGCTTATATTTAAAATTCAGGGCAGAAATTTTGATTGTAAACATCTAATTATTATATAGTCCATTCTTAGTCAATATGCTGTCACAAACGCATCGTACAAATCTTTTTTTCGATAAGCCTATGTAAAGGTAGCTTGGCCGCAAGCTTCTTGGTGCACGGCGGAGTGCTAGCTTTACAGGGGCAAAAAGCGGGCCGAATTTGAAAGTCTCGAGGAATAAAAAGTATCAATTAAAATACCGAAATTTAAACTGCGGTGTGTGCTATGAGTCGGCAGCTATTATATTCCTCGGGAACTTTACGATTCTTCATTTCAGTGACAAGAAATTTAAAATTTTGTCAAAGTGGCCCATAGGACCTAATGCAACAATATTATATCGGGCCCAGGAATAAAAAGTATACAATCCTGAGGTTCAAGTAGGTATTAAATAAGTCTTTATTAGTGCCCTTGTCGCGTTCGACCAGAACGGTACACGGAATCAGTGGAGGCAGAGGTCGAGCAAGTAGAATAATAAAACATATATTTACAACGTATAGAACACTACTGTTATGTACAAGAAAGTAAATCCCAAAAGTCAAACCCTATCGGTCCCCGTGACCCAGTCCCCTGAATGTTGATCGTCACTCACGACCTTGAAATGCTGAAGCCGGTCCAGCTGCTTCTCGTGGTCGTCTCTGGGGTGCGATGTCGCTATGGTAGGAGTCTTGGAGATCGGTGAGGTTCTTCGCTACACTGGAGCGTGGCCAGTGGCTGGTGGCCTCGCCTCGGAGCAGAGCCAAGGACGTCCTTCTCCAAGTACACCCTTTGCTTCTTATATCCTCTTCTTCCTTCTCTTCGGCCTGCCTGTAGGCCGCTCGCCCTTCCTAATTCTTCTTTTTCCTTCACAATCGTGACAATGCCCCCGACGTTCCAGAAATTCATACCATGAATTTTCTTGCTTGTTTTTTTCATTTTCTTGTCCTTTGTTCGTAGGCGGTTGTTCGGCAGCTGTCACGTGCACGGCACATCTGGACGCTTCACTCACAGCACACAGCTTATCACGCCCAGCGCCCGCGTGCCCAACTAAGTACAAAATCGTCGGTGCGGTACTAGCCCTATTCTATCTCTCAACACAACCCGCACTTGTGTCGCAGCAGGACTTTCTCAACCTCGAAAACGAAGGTACTTAATTTGACCTGCAATTACCCTATTCACAACAAAATATAGGATTGTGGACTCTTCAATCCTCAGTCCCTTAATTCACGTTGAATCGTCCCCCAGCAAACAAAAAGTTAATCCAAAACATACTAGGACACACTCCTCCGTGATTATCATCTAAATCTGCTCCCTCGTCTAAATCCGACTCAAGAAATCAGCGCCCACATTATCTTTCCCTTTGATGTACTCCACGTGGAAGCTGTAATCTTGTAGCTTCATGCTCCACCTCATGATACGGCTGTTCGTGTATTTTGCCTTATTAATGAACTCTAGTGGTTGATGATCTGTCTGAACCCGAAAGTTTCTACCGTACAAATAAATCGTAAATCTTCCCACCGCCCAAACCAGTGCTAACATTCCCTTTCTATTGTTGCGAAGTTCTTCTCCGCCCTACTAAGTTTTCGGCTGGCGTAAGCAACTGGATGTAGCACCCCGTCTCTCTCCTGTAGGAGCACCGCTCCCAAGCTTGTGTCTGAAGCGTCAGTCCGCAATGTAAATTCTTTTCCCAAATCAGGAGCCATAAGGATGGGTGGCTCAGCTAGCAGCTGCTTCAAGTGAGAGAACGCTGCTTCATGTTCCTCTTCCCACTCCACGTCATTTCGTGCTCCCTTCTTTGTCAGGTCTGTCAGGGGAGCTACGAGCCCTGCGTAGTTGGGTATAAACTCCCTGTAAAATCCCGTCAGTCCGAGAAATGATCTTACTTGTCGTTTCGTAGTTGGTCTCGGTGAGTCCTGTATTCTCGTCAGGATCTCTTGTTTCGGAGCAATTAATCCCAATCCTATCCGATGTCCCAAAAAGCTTATCTGGTGAAATCCAATTTCACACTTTTTTGGTTTTATCGTTAGACCGGCAGAGCGCAACCTGCTCAGAACTTCCCTCAGTGTGTCGATGTGTTCTTGCCACGAGTCTGTCGCCACCAGCACGTCGTCAATATAGTGGTATGCGTCCGGTATACCCTCTAGCAGCTTCCGCATCAACTTCGTGAAAGTTGCTGCTGCGGTTTTCAGGCCGAAGGGCATGAACCTAAATTGATACAGCCCACTCGATGATGAAAATGCTGTCTTTTCTTTAGACGCTTCATTCATGGGGATCTGCCAATACCCTCTGACTAAATCAAGTTTAGAAAAGAACTTTTTGCGTCCCACCTTCGCAAAAGTGACGTCTACCCTTGGTATGGGTTCTGCATCGGACACCAGTACTTGATTCAGTCGCCGGAAATCTATGCAAAACCGGTTCGAACCGTCCGATTTTTTCACCATCACCATAGGTGCGTTATACGGCGAATTCGATCTCTCTATAACGCCCATTCGCAACATCTCCGTTATCTCTTCCTCCACCACCTCATGTACTTTTAACGGCAATGGGTACTGTTTTATGTGTATTGGTGTTTGGGTGGTCAACTTGAGGTCGCACTTGATCATGTTAGTCTTTCCTGGTAGATCTGAGAAGACCTCTCTGTAGTGAGCCATCAAGTCCAACACTTGGCGTCGTTTCTCCGTGTCCAAAGTTGCCTCAATGACTACATCTTGCTCATCTTGCTGTTTCTTTAGAGACAGCGTTGGGACATCGTCCCCGTCTCCATCGTCATTGACGTCATCGTCACCGTTGACTTCTACTGCCAACCCGCAACTTAGGGCGACTTGTTCGTGCTCTTCTCTTTCTTCATACTTCTTCAACATGTTCACATGGAACACTTTTCTCTTACCTCCTATATCCAACTCGTCCAACACTTGGCGTCGTTTCTCCGTGTCCAAAGTTGCCTCAATGACTACATCTTGCTCATCTTGCTGTTTCTTTAGAGACAGCGTTGGGACATCGTCCCCGTCTCCATCGTCATTGACGTCATCGTCACCGTTGACTTCTACTGCCAACCCGCAACTTAGGGCGACTTGTTCGTGCTCTTCTCTTTCTTCATACTTCTTCAACATGTTCACATGGAACACTTTTCTCTTACCTCCTAAATCCAACTCGTAATCTACCTCGTTTCTTCTGGCAGTGACCTCGAATGGACCCTTCCACTGCATCAGCATTTTGTTGTTGTCACTTGGGAGGAGTATTAACGCCTTGTCTCCTGCTTTCATTTCTCGCTTCACACTCTTCTGGTCGTAATGGCCCTTGTATCTTTCTTTAGCCCCCTCGAGACAGCGGTGTGCCATCTCGCACGTCTCCTCGAGCTTATTTCTTAATTCTAGGACGTATCCGTAAGAGGTCTTCATTTCTTGAGTCATTGCCTCATTGGACCATACTTCTCTTAAGATGGTCAACGGTCCTCGTACCCTCCTTCCATACAATAGCTCAAATGGAGAAAATCTTGTGCTAGATTGGGGCACCTCTCGGTAAGCAAAAAGTAGTGCTGGTAAGTACCTGTCCCAATCTCGAGGTCTCTCTTGGCACATTCGCCTGAGCATCTGCTTAATGGTGCCGTTGAACCTTTCAACCAGGCCGTTGCACATAGGATGGTAAGGGGTCGTTAGGAGGTGCCTCATCGACAACAAACGGCTCACCTCCTTCATAAGATCCGATGTAAAATTGGATCCTCGATCACAGAGAATTTCTTCCGGTACGCCGTACCGCGTAAACATGTCCATTAGGGCTTCTGCCACTTCAGGGGTCCCGATTGTGCGCAAAGCCACAGCGTCCGGGTATCTAGTGGCTACATCTACCATGGTCAGTATGTATCGCTTTCCCGAATCTGACTTGGTCGTAATAGGGCCAATGATATCGATGGCTACCCTTTGGAAAGGCGTCGCTATGGTTGGCATTGTGCCCAAGGGCGCTTTGCCCACTCTTCCTTTGGGCACGGTCCGCTGGCACACGTCGCATGACCGCACATATCGGCGAATCTCGCTTTGCATTCCTGGCCAGAAGAATTCTTCCGCGACCAGGCCGATCGTATTGTTAATTCCCTGGTGGCCCGACATTATGCCATCATGGGCCATGGTGACGACAGTTCTTCTGAACTTCTTGGGGAGAACCAGCTGTTTTGTTTTCCTTCCCGAGCTGAAGGTACAACTCCTGTAAAGCAAATTGTTCCTTATGAAAAACTTCAGCGTCGTTCTTCCTCCGTGCTTAGCAGTCACCTTGCCGATGTTACGGAAACATTTCTTGAGGCTTTCGTCATTTCTCTGCTCCGTGAGCATCTCTTCCGCTGTTGCCTCTAGTGGTGAAACCTCCGGTACTATCAGTCCGGTTTTCGGTTGTCTTGGTAGATCTTTATTTCCTCCCGTCTCTATCGTGTTCGCGGTGAGCATAGGCTCGTTACTACGCGGCTCAAAGCTTGGTGCGGTCGTTTGCACTGGTTCTGAAGAACCCTCATGAACTTTTTCGACAATACCTTCCCGGCTGTCCTCCTCTCTTTCTCCTGTCGACGTCTGTGCTACCGACCTCCTAGCTGGTCTCATCTCTTCAACCTGATTCCAATTTGGGTCGGGGTCGTTCACGCCTCGCACCATGGGCACGTTCCCGAGCACTAAGCCGTACAACGGGTTGCTCAGGCATTTCGCCATTACTTTTCCCGTAAAGTATGGGGTCCTTACCAGAATCTCCGCTTCCGGAACATACCTTACGGTTCTGTCCAAAAGGAACACCGGACTCAACGTTCCTGTGAACGACTCGGGGGGAATCATCTCCTTTCGAACGACGACCGTGTTACAACCGGTGTCTCTCAAAACCGTTATTTTGCGGTCACCGAGACGTCCCTCCACCACAGGCATGTTTTCAACCAGAAATTTTGGAGCTCGTCCAACAGCAGCGTTCACCACTGGAATCTTGGCGCCGTCCTGAAGTGTCACGTAAGATTCGTCTGCCTCGGTACACCTCGTGTGGCTTGGCACCGTCCATACACAGGACGCCTGAGGTCGGTTGTCTAGTGTCGACCCGCAAGTGTTCGCTCGGTGCCCTGTGCGGCCACAGCTCCAACAAGTCAAAGTCTTGGACGTGTACGGACGGCTGCGGCAGTTTTCTGCCTTATGGCCGACCTTGTTGCAGAGAAAGCACCGGATGGTCTTTCTACTTCCACCCCTCGCCGCTCTCTCTGTGTCTTCGGTGCTCGACTTCTTAGCCAGCTCTTCCACCTTCGGCTTGCTTGCTCCTGTTGGTATCTGGGCCTCCAGATATAAATCGGCTTTGGAAGCTACCTCCTCTAGTGTGTGGCAGTCTCGTTCCCTAAGGAACACCGACAAGCGACTAGAACAACTCTGTAGAAACTGTTCAACGAGTACTTTGTCCCGGAGGGCCTCGAACGTTCGTTTCACGCCTGAAATCTCTATCCATCGGTCGAAATACCCTGCTAGTCGGGCGGCAAACTGCTTTCTCGTTTCCCCGTCATCGGGTTTTGCTTCTCGAAATCTTTCTCGGTAGCCCTCTTTCGTGTATCGGAATCTCTGCATGAGTGCCAGTTTCACTTTCGAATAATCCAATGCATCCGCTGGGGACATACGGCCAACTACTGTAAGTGCTTCGCCGGTCAAGCACAGACTTAACGTTGTGGCCCATTTTTGCTGCGGCCAATCAAGTCCCGCCGCCGTACGTTCGAACCGCTGAAGATATGCATCCAGGTCATCCCGAGCATCGTTAAATTGGGGAATCAGCTTGTGCGGACTGAAGTGATGTCTCTGTCCGTTCGTCCCTCCTTCTCCGTTGTCCCTACTTCTCTCAGAGGAGGTCCCCGCGGCTTCCTGTACCGCTAACCTAAGTTGCAAAATTTCCCGCTCTTTCTCTAGTTTAGCGCATTCTAACTCTCGTTCTTGTCTAGCCATCGCTCTTTCCTCCCTTGTGCTAGCCTTTTCGTCTTCTATCCATTTCCTCAACTCGTCTCCTTGGTAGCCTAACTCTTTCCCCACCGCCAATAATCGTTCGCTATCCATACTGCCTCACTCGACTCCACCAATTCGTGCACGTTCCGGCCGGCATGATCAAATTAAGGGCATCCTGGCAGGCTCGCCAAATTGTCGCGTTCGACCAGAACGGTACACGGAATCAGTGGAGGCAGAGGTCGAGCAAGTAGAATAATAAAACATATATTTACAACGTAAAGAACACTACTGTTATGTACAAGAAAGTAAATCCCAAAAGTCAAACCCTATCGGTCCCCGTGACCCAGTCCCCTGAATGTTGATCGTCACTCACGACCTTGAAATGCTGAAGCCGGTCCAGCTGCTTCTCGTGGTCGTCTCTGGGGTGCGATGTCGCTATGGTAGGAGTCTTGGAGATCGGTGAGGTTCTTCGCTACACTGGAGCGTGGCCAGTGGCTGGTGGCCTCGCCTCGGAGCAGAGCCAAGGACGTCCTTCTCCAAGTACACCCTTTGCTTCTTATATCCTCTTCTTCCTTCTCTTCGGCCTGCCTGTAGGCCGCTCGCCCTTCCTAATTTTTCTTTTTCCTTCACAATCGTGACAGCCCTATATAGATATCCCGGGGAACTTAGGAATTTCTGCAGTAGTTTGGCTGAAATTATTATTTTACTGCGTGTTGCTGAGAATAACAGAGAGGGCCCAAGGAGACCGTGTCCAGGAATGCTGGGGATGGAGGTACGGCCACCAACGCGAAGATTTCGCCATTTTTTGTTTATGAACTTCGTGGTAAATGTAGGTAGTGATTAAAAGGTACAGCGGTGTCTTGTAAATGTCTAGTTTTTGGACCATGTAGCACAGACCACCGTATCCCGTTATGTAGTTTGTAATGTAACTTAATTGATATGCAAATAAACAATGGGATCTCAAGAGAAATAACTGGTTTATTTATGAATTCCCACCTTGTTCCATTCTGGTTAATTCGGTATTCCAACCTGGTATGTTTACAGGTTCCAAACCTTGAATTTTAAGGTTAGACGTGAAGTACTTTGCGATGTAATGGCTTCAAGCAGTTTCTTTCGATATGCGACCTTGTCTGTCATAGTCATTTCTACGTTGACCGGGAATGGCCAAACAAACTTTTCTATTACAATCCTAGAATTTTTCGTCTCATGGTCATCTCTTGTAGCATAAATAAATCTCAAGAGAAAATTTAGCTTTTTACGGAATATATATATATATATACAGGGTGTTACAGAGAACGCAGGCCAAATCGCTCCTGCGAAAACTACTCATCACAACGAAAAAAGGCTTGTGGCGTTTGCGTCCTGGGCCAGGGGCCCATTTAGGAAAATACTAAAGTCCGGGATAATTAAGTTGTTAATTATTTTTGCGTAATTAATTTCGTTTTTATTATTGTGTTTAAGGGCATGGTTTAAATTAGAAAATTTCTCAGCATCATCGTAAAACACTAAATCAACAAATTGCAGAACGATAGAAAGCACGCGAAGCATTTTACGGCTTTCTGGAAAACCGCACAAAATGGACGGGTTTTTAAGTTTCGGTTTGCTCTCAGAGCGCATCTCAGCCCCGGCGGCACCGCGCCCCGTGGAGAGATAGTGTAACCAACCTCTGCTGCGCTGTCATCGCGCGACGCAGCAGAGGCTAGCTGTTTGCACTATCTCTCCACGGCGTGCGGTGCCGCCGGGGCTGAGATGCGCTCTGATAGCAAACCGAAACTTAAAAACCCGTCCATTTTGTGCGGTTTTCCAGAAAGCCGTAAAATGCTTCGCGTGCCTTCTATCGTTCTGCAATTTGTTGATTTGATGTTTTTCGATGATGCTGAGCAATTTTCTTATTTAAACCATGCCCTTAAACGCAATATTAAAAAAGTTAATTACGTAAAAATAATTGACAACTTAAAGGGATACTTCAACGAAATTTGAAATATTCCCGTCGTGTTCAAAAATAGGTTGAATATGATCCACAATATCCGTAAATGACAATCGCACGTTTGTATTTTGAGCCTGGTGGCTGTATTTTTCGTTATAAACGGCCCACTCTGGCAAGCGCTCGGAGAAGGCCCAGCTTAGAGCACGTGACATCCAACGCAATCGTGACGTAGGTCGTCTCAGGACGAGCAAAGCTACGGCGAGGCTGATGTCGAGAGGATGGCCTAGTCGTTCCAGCCACCGAAGCGGCTGCTTTTGTGCGAATTTTGAGTGACGGGTTAATCTTCTATAATTTTCTAGGGGGACACTAGCGACTTCTGCGACACACAAAAGGGATTTTCGGGAAGAGGGGAGTTCCTCCTTCCCCCCTTCTCTCGTCGTGGCCGGAGACGAGACAACCTCCGTCACTAGCTGTCAAGGTTCCTAGACGAGCATTACAAACGAGGCGTTAGCGACATCCACCAGGTGCTCTTTGCTAATCGTTTAATTCGTTTTAAAATACCTTTTCGAGACTTTTTTAACAAGATATTGGTATGTTCCATGTGATACTGCTCTTTTGAACACATATAGACCAAAAAATGAGCGCCGAAATTTCGTTGTAGTATCCCTTTAATTATCTCGGACTTTAATAATTTTCCTAAATGGGCCCCTGGCCCCGGACCAAAACGCCACAAGCGTTTTCTCGTTGCGATGAGTAGTTTTCGCAGGAGCGATTTCGCCTGCGTTTTCTGAAACACCCTATATATATATATATATATATATATATATATATATATACAACACGGGCACTTCACACCATCGTACGTGGTCTCCAAGGAGGATATGAACGAATATGTGCAGATGAATGAACCATACTTAATCCAATGAATCAAAGAATCAAAGTTTTCAGGAACCCGCCGAAAGCCAAAAATTGGCTCCGCCAAAATTGGCTTTCAGGAACCCGCCGAAAGCCAAAAATTGGCTCCGCCAATTTTTGGCTTTCGGCGGGTTCCTGAAAACTTTGATTCTTTGATTCATTGGATTAAGTATGGTTCATTCATCTGCACATATTCGTTCATATATATATATTGTGAGGGTGTTTATGAGAGACGTATTTGATGGTGCGATGTGGGAAGACCAGAGGCGATCAATGGCGGATCAGCCGAATCGCTCCCAGCTCGTGTGTCCAAGACATGCAGCGCGCGCCCCTATTTCCCGAAGATGCGTGTCGTCGTCTTCGTAACAGTTCCCCCCGGTGGTGGTAGTGCCGGTCATCCGGTACTGTAGGGTGGTTAGGGTTGGGGCGAGTAAGGCTTGATGCGGGAGACGTGCACGGTGTCTTGTGGTCTGGAGCGGTGGTCGCGGGGCGGAGATATTGGAGCCAGCTCGTAGTTTATGTCGGAAAGACGACGTATGATGCGATATGGACCGGTGAATTTAGGCAGGAGTTTTTCACATTTTCCAGTCTGGCGAATTGGTGTCTTGAGTAAAACGAGGTCGCCGATATTGTAAGACACTGGTATGTGGGTGTCCGCGTGACGAAGTTGTTGTAGCTGTTGCGATTGCAGAGTTTGTAGCCGGGCGGCGTATAAGCAAACCATATCCCGTACAGCACCTGGCCACGCCCCCTTGTCACGTGACATGACGTCACTTCCGCCAAGGCAATTTGTCATGTCACGTGACCTGACGTCACTTCCGCTCCAAACCGAAACCAGTTGTTTTATTGGTTTGCGAATTGTCACGTGACATGACGTCACTCGCGCCGCTGTGGCAAGGTAAACATGGCGCCCGCCGCCGCCTGAAGCACGAATCGTACGCGGTCGATCATCGGTGCAGTCGCGGCTGAAGCCAGAAACACTTGAGACGGGAAGCCTACGTGATCGACGCAGTCGCGGCTGAGACGCTGTGAACGCGGTGACGCGAGGGACTCAACACTTGGTGACGCAACTACGCGACGCCCGCAGTATGCGACGTCTCGCATCGTGCTTCTGCACAGGAGTGCGTAAAAGGCGCAAGTACTTCTCTTAGCGTTCTCAACTCGTCGCTTGATAAGAGCGAAGCAAGGTTACTACCAACGCCTACCACTGGTTTCCGAAGTCGAGCCTTCGGTTTCCAACGTCGGGTCTCGATGTCGCCGCTATTCTTGCCGCGCAGGCTCGTCGCCGACGCGGCGGATGTGAACCATGTCATGCATGAACGCCTTTTTCGATACGAAAATATGCTCTGTCGTCACGAACGCTTACGCCGACCCACAAGCTGAATTTGAAGTATTGTCAGCATTTTTATTTCGCCTGTACGTTGTCATCGCATCACCGTTACTCGCGGCGACGCAGATCTTCGTGCTTGCCTTCTAGCGGTGCCGCGGCTCTCCCGACCCAAAATAAAAAAAGCTGCTCTACGCTCGAACCGCAAATTGGGGAAGTGGTAAAGAAATTAGCTTAGTACCGTCAAAAACACTCGTATGACGATAGGCATGCCCAGTGGAACTATGAAGAGAAAAAACAAGAGTGCATACTTTGAACTCGAAAAGTTTTTATTTCACCACATTAAATATATTGTTGCAATGCAGTGCTGGTTTCAAAGAATGCTATTTCCTCAGTCCCTTGCAAAATGGCAAGTTCACACTGAAAAGCAACAGTTTACGTGTACAAAAAGAAGTTCACAAATGGTAATAATAGTTTCTCTCAAGACCTAGGGTAAAGCAAACGGGCATGTCG